ATTATTCCCTGGCGCGCTCCCCCTTGCGTCGGCCGGGGTCGGCGGATTCACAAGACAGTGACAGTGACACCCAACGGAGCCAACTAGGATATTGCCATTGCCTTCAAGTTTTGTGTTGTCTAGTGTTTAGCATCCAAGAGCTGAATCACACTGAACTCCAAGTCAGCGTCATGTCGTGCCTTCACATATCCCAATGATACTTGAACAAGCTGGAAGCACACAGTAAGATTGAACGCAACATGTCCAATTCTTGGGTTGTGGACTGAGTGCAACATGTAGGTGCCTTGACGGAACTGCGGATTTGTTTGGTCCGCTTTGGTCCGGATATATAGTTATTCTTATCCTAAACAGGTGATTAATTCCACCGGAAACAGGAGCGATGAGAGGGCTACATAGGCGTGTCTAGTGCACGTCATGTCCTTTCAGTGTGTTCCATGGTTCAGGACATATTGCCATCACCCAACCGCCTTGTACATGATGAGCATCTTTGGCCTGCACTTTCCCATGACGGTTCAAGATCTGGCAGGTTATTGAAATGCCAAAAGGCATTCTTGAACTAAGGGGCCCAGTCCATGTTTTTTCAATTTTTCCTTGTTCCCTCATTTCTTGTCAGTTTTTCTACGGCGGAGAAACCACGGATTCTCAGGGTCACAGGATTCTCTTACCAACGCTTGTACAGGAAGGGATGCCCCAAGCCCAGCTGACTCTTTTTGGCCTCTGGAATAATTCTGTAGGTCAATATGATGTTCCAGATTCCAACTTTGCTGCTTTCAAGGTATGTGGCGGAGATGAGTGGTTTCATGGCACAAATCACAGACCAACCCGATGCCTTCACGAAGTTAATCCAACGAGTTCGAGGCCTGGAAGTGTCTGAATTCTGGGCATTGCGTACACTCCCTCCAACAATGGTGGAAGTGGAACAAATCCATTTTACGATTTTTACGGAGAAAACGGTCTTCCAGTGGTCTATCATCCGTTATTGTTTGAGGGAGGGTGGCTTTGACTTTCACGTGAAAGCAAGTACATGAGCTGGATGCTACTTGAACATGCAAAGATGCGCTTGGCCGATAGGCTGAATACTGCAAGCCTTCAAGCCTCACAGAGCAGGATATGGCCTGTAACCCACATAGGAGGGGTAGCTTTAAAGCCTTTGTCAAGCTAAGTTTCTGCAGTCCCAAGCCGCGTGCTGTTGTTTCTCTGCCAGGCGAGCTTACTCTGCGTCAGAGAGTTGTGAGAGCTTTGGGAATCATGTAGGGCACTCCGAGTGGTCTTTTGGGACCTGCTTGGTGACGCGCTACTTTACTCGTCCATTTGTGGCTACTTGAGACTCGAGACTTGCACCTTTTCCGTTCTGTGCCAACTGAAGTTGTCAAAATCTCCAAGCCTAGCCATCAAGTATTCTTACATTTGGGTGTCACTCCTTCAAAAATATAATGTGTATATATATATATATATGTCACAAACCACAAAATAGGCAAGAAAACCAAGCTTGGAGCTTCTGATTGTGGCACCTCAGGAATGTCTGAGGACAGGTAGGACGGTTGTTGTGCGAAGTCCTATTGGGGACTCACGTGAATCATTGGCAATCCTGGAACGGACATTGTCAGCCATCATCAATCCCGACTAGCACGGCAGAACTGCGGGACTCGCTGGATTCTTTGACGTTTGTCCCTGATCCAATTGCTGCTTGTTGGGTGTATATTGTAAAGATGTGTAACCTAAGATGGTCTCTGGGTTCATTGAAGCTGGAGCCTTGGAGATTCCAGCACTTGCGGCCTTTAAGCCCGAGTCTGTCTAGAACCCATGCAACACCGCACTTTACGCAGTGCTATGTCCTGGACTCCTCTGCGCTCAACAATGATTGACTTATAGCAAAGGCATGACCCCCGGGCAACAACGCCGCGAGTCAGCTTCCTTTAATACATCACTTGCCTTGCTTAGACAGCAGAACATAAACTGCTGATTCTATGGATGACGTGACGGCGTCATCTTGGCAAGTGCTTGCCGACCAGAAGTCAGATCGGTATGTTGCAGCAAAGAAACTGGTCCTTGTCCCTTGCCAAGCTTCTGCCGGAGAATGACTCTCTCTATGGGATGAGACCGTCGGATAATACGATTGCCAATTTGAATCACCTAGACATGAAGCTCTATAATTGAGCCATGATTGTCAGAGCTTCTATTCCGGAGCTGCGACCATTGTGAAAGCTTGAACAGTCAAGCCTTATGTATGTCTCCCAAAGGAACTTTCCCTTTGTCCCACAAACGCCACTCGAGGGTGCAAAAGCGTGTCGCCAGGCTGGTGGAGGAGAGCTGCCGTAAAGGCACTAGAGGCGGGTTCCGTGAGGTGGTGAAACCACTTCACCATTCACCGTCGCTCCGGAGAGGAGCTGCGGGATGGTGCGTAAGGTAGAGGTGGAAGGTAGAGGTTTATCCTGGTTTATAATCCGTTGATCTAGCCATTAGCAGCTTAGTGGCCTGCAAGTGAGCGTTAACAGCTAAGGACTTCCGAGCAACCAGACCCCAGATTTTAAGACTGGGTCGTGGGTGGTCTTGCAATGCCAGGGGTAATCCGTCAACCTACACAGGTTGTGAGTTGTGACCTCTCAAAACAAGGTTGTTTGCTTGCATTCTGGACATTGACTTGCTTTTTGGGAAACACGTAGTCGCTAGGGTAGTCAGAATCTTTGTTGGTCCTTCCGCCTGCACTGTGACTCTCAGACACCTTGGCTGCTGATTTGACACACTGCATACAATGTGCGCATGAGGCTGGAGAGTGGTAGTTGTAGGATCTCGTAAACTCGCGCACTGGAGTAGGAGTGGGACCTCAACAAGATACAGTAATTGGTGATCTAGATGAGGGGTTCAAAGGGAGCACACTATTGGAATATGATGGCTGAACATGCTTAGCTGAAGGCATCATTTTGGTGTAGGTAATTTGGCCCAAGGCTCAGAGTGCCAGCCGTGGACGTTGGTTCTTCCGTGTGGTGCTCAGGAGCAGTCAGGATATCGATTGGTTTGGAATGCTCAGATCTGCAAACGGCCGAGGCCCTGGTGCTGGCTGCCCCGGTGGTATGGCTTTGAGGGTGGTGCAGGGACGAGGTGCTCTTCCCGTCTTGGAATGAATTGCCCAAACATAATCAGAAAGCAACTAGGTTGGAGGCCATCCCTTAGGTTGGAGGTCATCGCTAGTAGGTTGGAGGCCATCACTAGTAGGGCCACCGCCACTATTCTTCCTCTCCCACTGTGGACGAGTACTGTACAGGGGGTCCGATTGTCCGCTCGAAGAACTTTCTACTCAACAAGGTTCTGTTGCCACGGCTGTCGCTGGCCTTTGGCGTGAGACAAGCTATCTGGTCTATGTGTGTACAGAACATTTACTCCAGATGTGTATCTCTAGGTAAGTGCAATGGTACACTAGATCTAGGTGCCAGAAGATGGTCCCACTTTTAGACCTGGAGCCATTTCTCAAGAAAGAGAAGCTACGCCTGCCACGCGCTGACAGGTGGAGTGAACTTTTCAATTTGGAGGCTCTAAAGTCAGCTGGAGTTTGGGAGCTCAACAGGCATGATTGGCAAGAGCGAAAAGTTGTCGTTGAGATGAAATCGATCAGGCCTTCGATGAGACTCAGAATTTCAGACGGTTGGAACAACACCAGAACCACTGAATAATTCTGATCGCTGAGACTGCAACATGCAACTTATTACAGTAAGCATCACATCCATAGTTAGGTAGCGTACCTTTTTCTTCTCCCCACGACAAGCTTGAAGTGGAGACAATAGTCGGACGAGGAACTCAATGCCGCACGATTGCCCATCGAACATGGAAGGTTGCCCTCTTGCATTGAGTCCAGTGGAAGGTTGGTGGAAGTGAGATTTTGGGATCGGCCCAGGTCTTCTGGTCTCATTTGGTGCCTTGTACCATGATCGAACAAGAACGAATCAAACATGATCAATATATCAAATGTCTCTTTGGAGCAGCAATTGATTCATTGCGGTGCTAGCAATACGCCCGACCGAGGTGCCCTTCCAGGAGTATACTGGAAGTGCTGTGGACTTGGGGGTTCCGGCGCCCAGAGGAGTTGCGGCAGAGCTGATGGTGATGCAGTAAACCCAAACTAAAGCCTGGCTCATCAACTCAGGTGGTTCTTTCAAGGTCTTTGCTCCAAAGAGGAAAGGCTTTAAAAGGTTTAATTAACCGAGTGCAAGACAGACTGTTCGAGCGAGTGAGAGTTGCTTCCACACAGCCACCAAAAGCCCAAAGCCGCAGAAGCCAGACAAGCCATAAAAGCCAGACAAGCCAGAACTACAGAAGCCACCTACGGCTTGCTTTTTGTTCTCGTGGATTTCGTTGGATTTTGATGGCATTTGATAGCCAGGTTTTGAACACATTTTTATTGTTTGCATCTTGTATCTTTTGGGTGGCTTGGCACATGGTTTGCTCTTGAGGGAGGCGCTGTGCCCTTCCCCCAACCCTCTCCAGCATTTTCAAGCCAAGACAAGTCAACCAAACCCCAAAAGAAAACTAAACCACAGCTGCCGCAGCTGAGCTAGAGCCAAGCCCAAGCAGCTTAGGCACACGGTTTTGGTAGGGCATTACCCCTCGTCAACACTGGAAAACTGCACCTCCTTTGAGGCACCAGGGACTACACTGCTGGGAGCCTTCCTAAAACCCCATAGGGAGCAATCTAGAAAAAAACAAAAAAAGCATTGCAGCCCTCTTGGTTTCCTCCACCTGAGCCTTTCTCGACTTGCCAAGCATGCCGCTGAGGTGGTCCCAGTGGCAGGGCGAAAGGTGCAACACCTGAAGGCCAATGGGGAGCCTGAGATCCTGAATGGCGAGTGAAGGGAGACGGGACCGGAGACCTGAAATCCACTTGCGCATCCTTGATCGACCGGTTTGACTGCGAAAGAAATGGATCCTGAAGTCTGAAACGGATGACTGGCGTCTCCGCTTGCAGATATGGGGAGGTCACTCGGTCTTTCGCAGGTGCCGCCGGGACATGTTGTCACCTGAAAGCGTTTTCTGCAAGCCCACTTTGCCTCTAATACTATAACATTATATAATTCCTATGGTGCAAACCTCTGACTGTGAAGGAATCTGGGTGAAAGAACTTACAAATGTCGCATGCAATTGTTGCTAGTTCGGCACGGCTTGACCTGAGGATGGTTGGGGAGACTTCTTCGGCTTTACGAAGGAGATGAAGGCTCAGATGGGTTTGGTGGATGTAGAAACACCTCTTAGAACGGTTAAGATTGGTCGTTCTTCAACCTTTTGCTTCGGTGCAAGTAGGGCTTCCAGAGCACTCTAACTTAGACTCTAACGTATAGGTTTCTGTTGCAGAAGCATTTGAACAAACTGTCAGTCCCACAGTCTGGTAGCCTGTCGGAGTTCAATTTGCACTTCGCGATGGAAACAGTATGAGTTGCGGACTGACAAACGATGATGGGTCTAGTCTGGTGAGGTTTGTGACACTCATGGGCAGCAAGCACCACAAGCAGGCTCCAAACGTCGCAGGCTCAGCTGGGCCAACATAGAGGATTTTCTTGAGAAGAGGCAAGCCTCATACTTACACCAACCATGCTTTATTTTTTTCCAAAGCTACTGTACTTGGTGACCAGTGTTCTCTTTTCATGTACTGTGCCATGTGGTAGTAGACAGAAAGGGAGCAGCAATGAGCAGCATCTATATATTCTCTATGATATGAGAAGAAAATTATCGTGTCATCGACTGCGTGATTTGCTCTTGAGGTGGATCAGTGGTCTATGCTGGGTGCGACAGTCTATCCTGGGATCATTGTTTGGAGACGGAGAGACCAGAGACCATCAGACTTTATGTTATATAGGTTATATATATATAATATATATATATGTAATATACGGCGGACACACAGCCAAAAGGACGAAGTGATGTCACATGTCGTCTCTGTCGTTTCTGTCTCTGTCTCTGTCTCCTCTGTCTTCTCTGTCTTCTCTGTCTTCTCTATTTTCTCTGTCTTCTCTGTCTTCTCTGTCTTCTCTGTCTTCTCTGTCTCTGTTTCTGTCTCTCTCTCTCTCTCTCTGTCTCTCACTCACTCGTTGAAACTGTGTGGGGCCTATGTGGCCACATCTTGAGGCGATGTTGGCCCATCTACGGGCTATGTTTCCTATATCTGGGACCGATGTAGGGTCATCTTGCGGCTATGTGTGCCATATCTGAGACCTATGCTGGGTAATCTGGAGGGCCAGGTTCTGTCCGCCCGGCGCGCATTACCGACACCACCCTTGAAAAACACAGCATTTTAGCATTTCTCCCTCTTCGCCGCCTTGCAGTTCGATATGCGCAATAAACCCTATAAAGCACAGTGTTTTGTGTAGGGGTGGTCGGCGGCGGGGGACGTCGCTCCCAAAAACCTTCGGTAAACCGAAGGTGGCCCTCCGGGCGCAACACGGGCTGGCCCAGGGGCCGGTGCCCGGAATTTTAAGGCTTACGCCTGACAGCCGGGCGCCGGCCCAACGCAGGGGCACATGTAGGACGGTAGAGGTGATAGAGGCAAAAGACATGAGGCGACGGGGGGCCGGGACGTCGGGCATCCCGGCAACATCCTTCAATGTGGAAGGAGGCTGACCGCCCGGGCGTATGTAAGAGACACCGAAGGTCGGGAGAGCCGTCGCTCTCTCTCTCTCTCTCTTTCTCTTTCTCGTTGGCTTGCGTAGGGCCTCTTTCCCTCCATGTCTTTCTCCCTCTCTTTCCCTCTCTCTCCTCTTCTCTTCCCGAAGCCATTCTCTCACCTCCCACGAGTCTTCTGGCTGGCTGGTAGACACCTGCTCCCAGCGATCTCCGCCACAGCTTTCCACAATCTAATTCCGCGCCAAAAGCGACCCAAGCTTCGTCCTCAGACCTGCTCTCTCGGTGCCAAACGTCGCTTTCTGACGGCAGTAAAATCCTCTTCGAGTCCTCTTCCCGAAGCCGTGCTTGAGTCCGCGTCCAGAAGCCGCGCTGTCCGACATGTGATAGAGGTTTTGAGAAGCATTGACTGGTGAATATTTCACACCAAAAACATCCCAAAAATCGCCCTCGGAGCTGCTCTCTCACACGCAGCCGGCTGCAGCAGTGTTCTCTGACGCGCTCCCCCGCCATCACCTGGGGTCGGCGGATTTAAAATGGACACATATTCCAAACGCTCCATGCTGGACGCCACGAACATCAGAGCAGGGTGCCGCTGCCAGATGTCTACGTCAGTGGGCGCTTTGTTGCCTGGGTGCTGGTGCCGCTGCAGGATGCCGCTGCCCAGTGGGTGGCAGTGGGTGGTTTAGTTTTGCTGTCTGGGGTCTATGCTGGTGTAACGCGTGATTCTGTATTTGGAAACCTTAGTTCCTGGAGCATTTTAAACCAGAGCCGTTGCAACTGTCGTGTGCCCCAAACACAGTCGAGGCCTGTTTAAGGTTGATGATTCGATTCTTCTGGAGGTACTGTGATTCTGATATCATTGTCAGCAGCCTGAAGTGCGGAGCTGGGACCTGAGTGTCACACCGGTAGAAAGAGGTGCAGAGGTGCAGGCGCTGGACACCAATCACCAGCGTACTACGTCAGTAAGCTTCTACACGTTTGTAGCTTGACGCTGGCCCACAACTTGGATGGTAACCGCTTTTGGAGGGCAATGGAATCAGTTTTGGCATTTTGCCCCAAAGGTGCTGAGTGGCAGCTTCAAGGCATGGAGCCAGGGATGACTGTCAAGAAGAGCGACATGGGAAAGTGCCTGAGTAGTGGCTTAGCATGCTTGCTTGAGAAATGCCCAACTTCTACCTTTGGCAAGACTTCTAAAGGACTGGACCAGTACTTATGACTTCGGGTGCATGCCCAACAATTGAATTTGGCTTTGCTAGCTGGGTCCGAGTGGTTGGAGTCCCACCAGCATTCACCACCAAGAGCCCCACAGGGATTTTCGAGGAAAGCAGACATCTCTGTCAATCATTGGCACTGCATTCATTGCCAGTCTGTCCTGGATTTGCTGGAGAGTGCTGGCCAAAGGATGCGGTGCGAGATTGCGTTGCTGAACGAAACGTCGACAAACAGGTCGAATATTGTTTGATGTATGACAGACTCAGCAACCGCTCACTATTGCTGCTCTGAAACAGTTTCTGTGTTGAGGAACTCATGTGATTTAGTATGATTTACTGATTTACTGTAGTTTTACTGGTTTGTCCATCCTTCCCAAGATCTCATAGGTGGTTTGATTTTGGCACATTCTTTCACAATGCTTCCCTGGACACTCTTCCGCTGAAAAGAAATTGCCTAAACTGGGTAATCATCATTCCCATGACTTCGGCCTTAACCGAAGTCGTTGAAGTCAAAAGGCACGGAATCTGGTCACCAAAGCTTGGGTGACAAACAAAAAAGCAGACGAGACCTTTTCCTAATGTTTTCAATTCTTTCTAAAGCCAATGAAGTTCAGCTGACGATTTCGCAGATCGTTTCTCTTGTGCACTAGTTTCGAAGGAACATGATGTGACATTTGTTTGCTAGGAGCAGCATTCTGCTGAAACATTTGGATGCCCTGCAGTTGCACAGCTCTGACGGCGCCCGAAACACACGACGCGTCGGCGTGACTTTTCATATTTACCAGGCTACCGCCTGCAGCCGCCGACCCCCAAGGGATAGAACCTTAGCGCTAGCCTTGCTCTATGTTAGCCTTAGCCTTAAGCCTTAGCCTTAGCCTTAAGAGTGCAGACCCAACCCAGCACCACCAAAGCAGGTACCCAAAAAGTCGACTTTTTGGGTACCTCCCAGATTTACCATCGGACGTCAGCTCTTGCATGAACCCCGATCATTGCCCAAGAATTTAGACCCAACCCTTCACCACCAAAGCAGGTACCCAAAAAGTCGACTTTTTGGGTACCTCCCAGGTTTACCAATTTAGACCCAACCCAGCACCACCAAAGCAGGTACCCAAAAAGACAAAGCCTAGAGCATTCGTGACAAAATCTACGAAAAAGCAAGGCATTGGCCGGGACCATGCCGCGACCAGCCCGGGATTCGAGCCCAGGACCATTTTGGACCGTGCTTATTTTCCCGCGCGGGTCGAGAGGGTGCCCCAAGATGTAAATCAATTGGGCTTGGACAATTCCCGGGTTGCTCAGGGCGAGATTTCGTCACTGCAGCAAGGGTCCGGAGGGGTAGGGGAGGTTAGTCAGTAAGGTCTATGTCTAAGGCTAAGGATAAGGCTAAGGACTAGGTCTAAGGCTAAGGATAAGGCTAAGGCTTAAGGCTAAGGCTAACATCGACAGTCACGCCTCACCCCACGGTGTGGGGTCGGCGGATTAGAGACTTGCGTGATTTATGGTCATGTGTGTTTGGTTCCTGGAGATCCTGTTGATAGCTTGGGGGATGCTTGCTTGGATCTGGCTGTGATTGTCCAATCGTGCTTGTTCTTTCCCGGACTCGTGGTTCTCGCAACTTCAATCTATGTTGTTTGGCCGCAAAGCAGTGATGTTTTGTGTTCGATATTCTAGGAGAGCATAAGCTTGCACAGAGTGCTCCTGCAGGTCCCTTTGCCACGCAGTTCCATTCAGCGCGCGGAGTCTGAGACAGCCAGAGGTTACAGCGGCTACAGCGACCTTGGGGCATTGTTCACCTTGAGTCCGGAGAAGGAACAAGACATGGCCGGCATGGCCAGGACAGCTGCCGAAAGAGTTCACTGGCAGTTGAATCAATAGCCCCAGCAGGGAGCCACCAGTCTGGTGAGTCTACACCCAGCCGGAGAGCTCGGCTGCTGGTACAGTTGTGAGCTAGGCAACCGGTTCTTTACTGTCCCACCCACCACGTGGCAATTCGTCTGACAGAAGACTTTGCTGGAATTTCCTTTCGAATTTGCAAACCAAATCCTTTGGCGACAGATTGTCAACACAAATTGTTTCCTGTGCTGGTTTAGCACTGTTGTTGGGCTACAGCGGCTACAGGGTTGCCCTGAGGGCACTTCCGTGGTAAACATGTTTTTTCCCGTTTCTTTTTTTAAAACCGTTTTGCCCAGGTCCCTCAGCTCGATGTTTTTGACCGAAACAGACAAACACCATAAAATAAATCACTAAACTCCCCGTTGTTTGTTTTCTTATCTCTATTTTTTTTCCGAAGACGCGAAGCTTGGGAGCTTCGCCCGCAGATGAAAGCCGTCACCCACCAGCACGAACGTTCGTGTCAAAAGTGCATCAAACAAATCCATTCCGGTTGCGGGAACTGCGGCACGCAAGAACGATTCACCAAAAGCATGGTAGGTTGACATCCTCGATTATGTAGAGGGTGATTGGTCGTCAGGTCCATGTAAGTATGTTTTCCCAACAGGAATCGGAATTGAGCCAAGCGAATCGGTCTGCGTGCCCTAGACATCCAAAACTTTCTTCAATGAGCAAAGGCGAGTGCAATATCAAAGCAACGCCCACCAGCTGTTTGGGGTTTCACCTTCGACCGCTTGAGCTGACCCATGGCCAGTGCCTGCCGTATCCGTTTCCGGTGAGCGTGGGACAACTCTTTGGAGGTTGGAGAAGCCTCCCCCAACCTACTAGCGATGACCTCCAACCTACTAGCGATGGCCTCCAACCTACTGACTAGCGATGGC